TGAAAATTTTATAAAGAAATACTACGTAATAAAAATAAAGGTTTTTTTATTGTTGGAAAGTCAAGGGTTTATAAAATATATTTAATACAAAATTAAATATCCATGTGTGGAGTGACATGTGTCTTGTGTTCACATGTGGCATGACACATGTCAGTAGTATGCACGCATGGCATGACATGTGTCATCACCACAAATATGTAACTCTCTTTTACATATGTATATAGGATTCGAAGGCAAACCTACGTTGAGTCTCACGGGGTCTCGGGATCCCACGGACCTCAACGTAGGATAATATATATATTAGGTACTACCTCCGTCCCACTCTCTTTGTCCACTTTTGACTTTTGGAACTGTTCATCTAAGCACTTTGACTCATCAAATTCTCTCAATGTGTAAGCCTAAATATAGTCATGTGTGATCTTGTTTGATTTGTCTTAACATATAGATTATTAATATATAATTTCTATAATTTTTTAATATACAAATTACAAGATAAAATGGATTAAAGAAGTGCATTGGATGGTGTGCCAAAAGGTAAGTGGACAAAGAGAGTGGGACGAAGGGAGTATTATATTTCACAATATAATATGAATCCATTCTGCGTCCATAAAATAAAGTTATTGAGTGTAGTTCAATGGATAGCAATCTATAATGTCAAGCTTAGGGTGTTGACTGTTGAGTTGGAATCCTTTTTTTGCTTTTCTTTTGTGTACCTCACTACCTCCCAATAAACCATCTGTGTTAGACTTTTGAAATATTTTAATTTTATGTTTGAGTTATATATCTTACTTTTTACTTTTTGATAGCTATAAACTAATTATTCTCTTCTTCCTAGAATGAATTTTTCATAGTGTATAATTTTGACTCACATTAAAGAAATTAATATACCCCCAACTATATTTTGTATTGCTTTTGTTTTGTGTGTACCTCCCACTAAATTATTGATGTTATTTTTAGACCATTTATTCTCTTATTCATAGAACAATTGTTTTAGTATATATTTTTTAACTTTCACATTAAAGAAATGCAATCTACAAAAATTTTTAACAAACAAAATTAAATCGAACATCCAAACACGAGTGTTTAAATTTAATGCTTAAGTTATACGGTCTATTGTTTGATAAGCTAAAAATCAGATGATCTATTCATTCTTTAATTAAATATAGTTTTCTTTATATAAAAATCTTTTCACTTTCTTATTGTTTTCCTAAATAAAATTTTCACTTTATTTTTTTGTTTGTCTTGAAATAAACTTAACATTATTTTTCTTATATGTATAAATAGTAACTAAAAATTTAATTTTTTAAACCCACTAAAAATTAAAACGAGAAGTTAAAATTGAGACAAAAAGTACCAATTTACCCAAAAAATAATAGTCAGGACACCATGACATAAATTTTCTAGATCCTCGTATGATCATATTGTGTAATATCTATATAATTTTTAAAATGATAAGTTCAGAAATTAATCACTTTTTTAAAGTTAGAAATTTCTTATTCTTCATCCAAAAAAATAAATTACTTATTCTTCATCCAACTCAAATATCAAAATTGTATTTTAAGAGTTTTTTTTTTTGAGTTAGAAAAGTTAAATTTCAACTTTTTTTTCAACTTCTTACAGATTTTTTCTAACATTCAACTTTAGAATACGAATCGAAAATGACATGCCGTAATAAAGATATCAGACATGATTGATATTTGATATGGAGGACAAATAAGTGATTTGTTTTTTTTAATGAAAAAAAGTAATTTTTTCTGAATCATCACTTTAAAAATCCATTTAAATATTATTTCATACACAATGTTGGCTGTCAGCTATTGGCTGTTGGCAGTTCGTGCCAGCTGTTGTGAATGACTGTTTAGTTTAGCTGGTTTGATCGGCAGGATGAATTGGCTGATCGTTAAAAATGTTTGGTAAAATTAGCTGTTTGAAAATAGTTATATATATGTATGTATGTATGTATGTATATATATGTATGTATATATATTTTTCATTTTTTTACTTTCATTTAATTCATAAGAAAGTATTAATATACAACTTTCTAATGATTTTTACTTTTTATTTTCTCATTTCATTTTTTTGAAATTTTGAAATTTTAAATTTTATTTTTTTAGTATTTTATTTTTTTAACTTTTATTTTTATTTTTATTTTTATTACATATATTATAAAATATCTTTCAAGAAAAATGATTTTAAAAAAATTAAATTTTCTAACAGCCAAGTCCAAATGCTATTCCCCATGGTATTTCAGATTTTGGCCTTGTTTGGACACTAGCAGTTGGCAGTTGGCTGTTTATGTTAGCTGGTTTGAATGGCTGATTGAGTTAGCTGTTTTGACCGGCTGTTTCTGTTAGTAGTTAAATTTTAAGTGTTTGGCAACTTTAGCTGTTTATACTTAGCTGTTTGTAAATAAAATTACATAAAAGGACATCCCTCCATTTATGGTATATTTTATTTTACAATTTTTTAAAATATCATATCATAAATATATTTTTTTTAAATTAAAAAAATTAAATAAAAAATTATATATATATATATATATATATATATATATATATATATATATATATATATAGACACATGATATTTATTTTTCATTTTTTTACATGTAAAAATTAAATCCTTACTATATGGAGTATTAAATTTTAATTTCATTTAATTCATGATAAATTATAAATATAAATTTTTTAATGAATTATAAATATAAATTTTTTTTAATTTCATTTTATTTTTTCGTAATTAATTTTTTTAACTTTTATTTTTATTTTTCACATATATTATAAAATATCTTTCAACAACAATGATTTTAAAAAAATTATTTTTCCAAACCGCCAAGTCCAAATGCTACTCACCTTGGCATTTCAGATTTTGGCTTTTCGGATCAAAATGCCAAGTGAAAAAGCCATTAGCCAAACAATGGTTTTGGCGGTTCGCTTGGTCAAAAAAGCCAAAGTCAGTCAAAGATGCCAAAAGCTATCCCAAATGCTGTTTTCCAAACACGGCCTTTGACTTTTCGAATCAAAATGCCAAGTGAAAAAGTCATTAGCCAAACAAAGGTTTTGGTTGTTCGCTTAGTCAAAAAAGCCAAATTCAGTTAAAGATACCAAAAACTTTCTAAAAAGCTGTTTTCAAACATGACCTTTATTGTGCAAGTGAAATGGCGGGTAAAATATTTTTATAAAAAAACAATTTTAGAAGTAATGGTATAATTAATTAATTTTGAGAGGAATTTTGTAAAAGGAGAGATTTATGGGAGTAGTGTTTTAAATTTTTCTTTCTCCTCGTTTGACCTTCTTCCTCCCTTTCTTTCTTCCTCGCCTCTTCTTCTGAGTTCTGATCAGTCTCGGCTGGCTCTTGAGGTCTTCCCATCTCCCTCCGCTCGAACCTGCGCCTGCGTCGGCTCTCCAACCCCCCATCGTCTCCCTTCTCCGGAAAAGGTAATCTATCTTTTTTCTTAAATCTTGTTTTGATTTTGTTAGTCATACTAAAAAGTTTTATCGTCGTTTTTTTGTTGCCTTTTATTGTTAGATCTGAAATGTCAGATTATCTTTTATAGGAATCTATTGTATTTTTTGATTATTTCACTCAAAGCGGATGATGCAGTTCTTGAAATCGAATAATCTTTTGCCCTTTTTTTAATGAGTTCTGGAAGATAGCGCAAATATTTGGATATCTATTTTCAGGATATGCACCAAACATGAATATACAAAATTTACAGACTTCGAGCCAAACACCATAAAAGGAAAATTGATACAACCCAAGGGAGAGCCACACCCCAAAAGCTATATAAACCAATTACCAAGTGGCTATATAAACCCATCATTAAGGTGGGAGAACCCTTGGGCCTTGGCTATATAAACCCATCACCAAGTGGCTATATAAACCCATCACCAAGCCCCCCATATAACCGGTGTGGGACAATGAAATCAGTCCGTATCATTCGACCCCCATAAGGCCCAACGTCCTCGTTGGTCACGGCTACGTTGGTCACGACTGGTTTCACCAGGCCACCACTCCGTGGTCCACCACTCCGTAGGCCACCATTCCGAGTTGGCTCTGATACCATTATACAACACAAGGGAGAGCCACACCCCAAAAGCTAGCTATTGAGGTGGGAGAACCCTTGGCTATATAAACCCATCACCAAGTCCCCCATTTAACCGGTGTGAGTCCGTACAAAAATTGATTCTGGAATCATTTAAATTTCCAGAATCCATTTTCTAGAAGACATTTTCTGGATGTCATTTTCCTGGTTTCCAAAGGGACCATTATTTTCCTTCCTCCTATTTTCACTTCCCATCCAAACATAGGGGAAATAAACCTTCTTTAAAAAAATCAGGAAACACTTGATTTTCTCATACACCCTGCACATTTTTCCTGATTGGGAAATCTTTGAGACAAATTAACATAAAGTTGGGAATTTTGTCTATACTTTCTGCATCCGCTTCCTCTTTCACTGTTTGAGACTGAAATTGAGAGAATGAAGGGAAACACAGAGATGAAGGCCGGCAACCCTAGCAAAAATGTAGAAAATTCAGAGAAGTTCACAGATGGCGACGACGAACGCGAAGAGCAATCAGATGTTGCCGCCGGATCTGAAACTGACGCAAATGCCCGGTTCTCCACTCGCAACGCTTCCTCCAAGTACGATTTCGTCAAGGTCCTCGCCTTCCCTCTCTGGTCTGAATCCATACTCACTCGTCTTTCATCCAATTGGTTCTCTTTTCCCAGGGTTACACTCTATTTTGTTTTCAGGTGAAAGTATGGCTGGGTGAAAATGCCAATCATTACTATGTTCTATCGAGGTTTTTGCTCAGTAGAACCTTAACTGTCACTAAGGTTTGCAATCGCTCTTCTTTTTTATTGATTACTGAATAATAGACTGTAGTAGTGGCCTTAATTTGCTAAAACTGTGACTGATATGACTGGCCTTGTTCAATTTAAGGAAGAATAATTCTAAAGAAAATTTGACAGAAACAGAAGCAAGTATTTACGTTTGAACAAAAACTCCACGGACTATGAAACTGACCAAAAACATACCAATTATTGGTTAAAACAATGTGGCTAAAAGCCTGAAACAATATGCTTGTTGCTGGAATACAAGAATCCTTGTAAATACTTTTTGCAAAAACAAAGTGTAGTGTTTTTGTCTAATCTTAACCACACAAAAAAATGTATCTCCCATTAGTATATTTCATTGGAAAAAATCCCATGAATACTCCAAGAAATGCATGATTTTACATTGATGCGCAAAAATTCAACAAATGACACCATTGCTTCTAGAAATGCCATATTTTTACACTGTTACTACATCGCTGCAAACTCAGTTAAAGACATGACATTTTAAATTGATGACATAGAAATTAATAAGTATGAGTTGACAACTAATTAAAAATAAAAAACATAAAATACGTTATTACTAGACATTTGCCCGCCAGTTTAAAATTAGATAACTGAAACATGGTAAAACTAAAAAATTGAAACACGTTTATATTTTAATGAGATAAATTGTGCATAAAATTATATACATGTTTGAGACCTATCCAACGAATGTATTAAGTATTATTATTACGTGAATAAGATTATATACGTGTTTCAATTGTGAATAGAATTATATACGTGTTTCACAAATTGAAACTAAAAACTAGACAGAGAATTTTGAAGTTATTATTTTGAATTATATTTTATTAATTATCATTTTGTTTTTTTGAGACCTATCCAATGAATGTACTTTTGTCTAAAAAATATTTACTTCAAGATTTTCTAATTTAGTTTGTCTAAAACACTACTTACAATTAGTTCGATTAAAACATATGCACATTTAAGTTTTTTATTTTTATTGTGTTTTAGGTTTTCAATTTTTAACAAGCAGGGGGAGGGGTTAGATATAATATATTTTAGTTTTTTAGTTTTTTATTAGTTGGCAATCATACTTCTTAATTGGTCAATCATCATTTAGAATGCCACAGATAGGGGTGTTCATCGGGTCAAACCCGGACCGGACCGGACCGGGACCAGACCGGGACCGAATAAGGGGCATTTGGTGGACCGAGGACCGGACCGACTAAGCTAAGGACCGGCCCGGGACCGGACCGGTAAAACCCGGACCGGACCGGGACCGGACCGAATAAATGTTATTTTTATTTTTTTTTAAAATTTGATTTTATTTATTTAATTTAGAGTATTCAATTGAATAAAAATATTACTACAACTAATTTTTAATTGTAACATACACTAAACATTGTCAAACATAGTTGTTTTGAATTTTTTAAAAAACTTTAAACAAAATATATATCTTCCATCCGTATTACATAATATTTGTTCATAATTTTTATTTTACATAGGAAATAATCTTCTTCTTAGTGCATTTTTGCTTTTTTGTAATGCTTTTTTGAGTTTTCGATTTATTTCGACAAACGGATACATTTTTTACTATTTTTGTTTATGAGATTGTTTACAATGTTTGTTTTTGCGGATTAGAGTTTCATTATTGATAAAGTACAAATTTAAGTTATAGTATTGGTACATAAATTTGAAATGCATTAGATCGCTAATATAAAAGTAATGTTTACTTTTTCACACTTTTTATATTAAAAATATTTAAAAATCATTACAATCGGTATCTTATTTTGAATTGAAATGTATTTAAAAAATTATATTAAGTAATAAAATCAAAACATTTAAAAAACTTTTAGTATTAAAGTTAAATTAATTTTAAGTATAAGAAAAAACCTTAAAAAATACATTATTATAAAACTATATAGAAAAAAAATATTTTAAAAAAATAATATGTAACCGGTTCACCGGTCCGGACCGAAACCCGGTGGACCGGACCGGACCGGAACCCGAATAAGGAAAAAATGAGGACCGAGGACCAGACCGGTCCGGTCCGGTTTTGGCCGGGTTTCGGGTCGGTCCGGGTCCGGACCGAATAATGCACACCCCTAGCCACAGATGAGTTGGTAGCGGCAAAATAACAATGTAAAAATGTGGAATTTCTGGGAGCAATGATGTCAAATGTTGAATTTTGGAGTATTAACCTAAAGTCACGAACTCCTTGGAGTATTCGTGTAAAATTTTTCTATTTCATTTATATTAATCTTCATCATCTTGAAATTTTAGTAAAGAAAAAATATATTATTTTGCCACACAACCATGAAAGAAACATTCACACATCCAAAACTCATTTGTGAATTTTAAGATTCATTGAGTCTAGGTTAGATTCTAAAAATATTTTTCGCGTGTAGCTCAGATAAAATAAGATTTTATTAAAAATAATATTTCACGGATTTGTGAAAATAGTTTTAAAATTGATATTGGATCTTTCAAATTTTAGAATTCACAAACCAATTTTAATTTCGTGTCAAAAATATTTTCAAGAGTCATGGATCTGAAATTAATGTTTTATGATTGGTGAAAATTTCTAGTGAAGAAAATGAGTATAAATAAAGTTTAAGAACAGGGAATTAGGGTCTACATTTTTTTGGGTGGGTGGAGTCGGGGAGGCTAGGGGTTTAGAACTTTAGATTAGGCAACTATACTATAAACAATGAGAGATGAACAAAAATATTTTGGCATGTTTATACAAAGGGTATTTATACGAATTCTTGTCAGAGTATATTGTTTTGGCTAACATGGGTGATAATTGGCAATGTTTTGGACAAATTCATAGTTCCTAGTGTATTTGCCCAATCACCCATATTTGTTGGTGCTTTTGTCCAATATCTTTAAATTTAATTATATTCTTTTCATAAATAAAGAATAGTAGTAATTTAAGATTTAAAACAAGGACATAATGCTATTTTTATATATTCATCAAGAAACTTCAGCCACAAAGTACCTTCAAAATTCTATTGAATTAGTGTTTGGTATAAGATAGTCCAGAAAGATTCAACAAAATACATTTACTTTTTGTTTAGTATGATCACTATTTTAATTTCTCAAAAAAGTGACTTAGATTATGACAATTCCAATGTATGACTAGGCTTTATTTTTAATGTTTGTCTTCATATAAGGCTAATGTAAGATTTGTTGAAGACGTGTTGTATGTCAGGATAAGGAAGCCACAACGCTGAAATCACACACTCTGTAATTAGGGAAACTACTCCCTATGTCCCACCAGTTTGACGCACAGAGTGTTGGCACCATAGTTTTAAAAACCATACCGGACGGTTCGGACCGGGAACCGGTGGCCTAACCGGTCCGGCCCAGCTCCAAAGACTGCTATATGCACCAATCCGGCTCAAACCGGCCGGTTTAATCGGTGAACCAGTTTTTTATTTTTTTGCACAACTTCCTCAAAAATTTTTACAACATTAGGATTCAAACACAAGACCGGTTGTTTATATGTTAAGGTATCCACCATCTAAGCTAGAGTACTTTTTTGTTACTCCCTCCGTCACAAATTAAATTGCCTGTTTACTATTCACAGGGTATTTCCATTGCCCTGTGGAGCCAAAAATCCACTTTTTTTTGCATTGGCGTATGATGGAATAGAGCAAATTGGCTCTTTAAACTGTTTGTGCTTCTTGCAATTGTGAAGTAGCAGTTAGTAAATGCAACTCTGACGCTCATCATGGGTCATAGGGGTCAGACTCTGTACTCTGTACATCTGACCCCCTTACCCCGCAATGGGCGGGAGCCGTTGAGGCACTGGGATAATGTTGTTGTTGTTGTTGTTTTTGTACTATTCACTGGGTCAAACTTCATTCACTTTCTTTCCCTATTTTCGTTAGTCATTTGATAAAATAGTATAGTCATGTCACTACTCATTTTGTAGTTTTTTTGATCTAGTTTTTAAATATATACGGAGTAATTTTTATTTTTTAATTCTACACCATTTTTCATATAAAATTATTTGAAAATAATTTCAATCAAACATTGTAAATCGAAACAGGCAATATAAATTGGGACGGAGGGAGTACATAATAAGATATAGTAGTCTAATAGTCTATGATTTAAAGAATACATATTCTAAAATTTTGAAAAATATAATGTTGAAATATTATTCAAACTCTTAATTGTTGATGCAATTGATACTAATACGGAGTACATGTCACAAAAGTATTAACTAATTTACATATTTTTGAAAATATTGGGCAAATTATTGAACAAAAAAATCACCTCTTATTTTATAAATATCGTTAAATGTGATTTTTTCAATTCAATGCTACTACTCAAATAAATTAAATTGATTATAAATTTAGTAAAACATCATTAGTTCTTTATTTATAGATAGAGGAAATATTATTTTAAATAAATATTATTTTTCATATATATATATATATATATAAAATTTAAATTTTCAAATATGTGTGAACCATTGGTTCAACCATTCGTACCACTGAACCAGTACCTTGACCGGTTCAATCACCGGTCCGGTTCAAAAAACTATGGTTGGCACACAACAAAAGAAAAAGTGGAACTGTTTGATAATATTGAAGATGTAAAGTATGAATAAAGTTAGGATAATTTTGGATTGAACAAATATAACGAATATGAAATGGGAAAAGTGGTCATTATTTTAGCTTCAGGAGAGTAGTGGATAAATAAAAATGGAACACAAAACTTCTCTTGCTTCTTACTTTCTATCGGTAGCAAATCTGCAATGCATCAAGGGCTTAACAGAAACAGTACATCATCTCTGTCTTTTACCGGGTATGACTGCATACATCTTGGCCTCTAGACCATAACATAGTCAGGATTATACTAGGTTTGTTGTTCTTGGGATGTGACACATAAAAATGGTAAAAAGGGACAAAGATAGTGGATTGCAGGGAGTGTTTTTTTAATCTAAGATATTGCATCACTTCAATAATTACTGAAGGAAGCTTCTTGAATTACAGATTCCAAATCACGTGGCAATTAAAATTGCGCTTGAACTTAAAAAGCTTCTTGTGGATAACAGCCTTCTTGATGTGTATGATATTTTTTCCCATTATATTTTTTTTTTAGATTTTGATAAAGGATAAACTATTTTTATTTTTCATCACTTCTTATGAACTGTATTTTTTTTTGTGGATCTCTAATTTGTCGGCATGTCAACATTTTCCAGATCACAGTCAGATTTGGAGGCCAATCTGTTCAAGGTCTGTCCCGTGTTCATTTTCCTTCATCAATCTGCTGGTTTGCTCCAATTTTGTCTGGATTCATACCTTTTTTCCATTGGTTTATGTAAATTTGTCAAAGTTAAGGCTCAAGATTATTTTTTGGCCTTTTATGATTGATGTTTTTGAGTATTGGAATCAGCAACATTTACTGAATATAAGTGCTGTTTGCAGCTTATGGAGCGTCGGGGTTATGGGGAAGAGTATATAAGCCGTTACAAGATGATGACAAGGTCAGTTACGTCTTTACATCTGTTCCAAGTCACTTCCAAAAAAGAGTCATGTTTTACGAAGCTACTGAAAACGATGTGCACCTCAGTGGGGGTGAATTAATTGCAATTTAATTCTTTTTCCCAAGTGTTCAAGTGCCAAAATAACTTGTAGGATTTTGAAGAATTCAGATGAAGTATTCAAGATGTAAATATGGCAATACAAGTAAAAAAAGCGATGAAGTAGTGACATTGTAATTTTAGATTGTTTCAGAAACTTTATACTCTATTACGTAAGTGCTCATCCTTTAGGATTTCCTATCCACTGTTTTTCCTTTTGAGTCGGGGCATGAAAACCAACTTTAGCAACAGCCATTGCCAGCAGGTACATTAGTTCTTTCTTCAAATATGACTCTTTTTTTGGGAAAACAATAAGTTTCAAATGTCTTTTTTGGGATGGAAAGAGTATTTTGCATTTTTTTCTGTTTTTGGAAAAAATCAAGGTGCACAAAGTATGAAGGTACTGCCTCATCTTTGACCTGGTGGCTCTTTGGCGTCGTGCCTTCAGCATCACAATGGTAATTGTACCTTTTTTGGGTTTATATCATTGCTTTGGTAAGTCTACACATACAATTTTGAATCAAGATGACTTTGTATTGTCTTTTTATTGCTATTTTTGGGCATATCGTTCCTCAATGGCATGATATGCTGAGCACCGCTAAGGCCTAGAAGGTTTTCAAAGCCTACATAAGATTTCAAGTTGAAACTCTCAAAACTCAACTTAAACATAGTGACTGCCTTATATTTACACCGAAAGGATGATTTTTTTTTGTATATTCCAAAAGTAATTTCAAGGCTGTCTACTTAAAAGAAAATTATGATGAGGATACTGCCATTTGTGCAAGGCTGCAGACACAACAGACAGAAGATATGTTATAGACTTACAGCCCAAAGATATGGCAGCTGAATTCAGGAGGAACTGAACCTTGGGTGAAATATCTCTAGACGCTGTTTTTTACACAGTCCAAGTATTTTTCTATTCTCGCACCTGTAATCCTTTGCCTCCCATAGATCACCTCTGCAATGCTCAACCAGGAGTCAAGGAATAAACTGACCAATTAGATACACTCAAAAGTAGATCTTATTGATATACTCCGTAATTCATATCATCTGTATACAAGACAAAAGAATGCTTTATGTTAGATATAAGGAAATGTATAAAAAGGTACCATGTGCTTGGATGTGTTTTCAATTAGAAGTCTGTTGAATTTTTTGTTGCAAACTGGGGTCTGTGTTTTTGTTCCACATAGTGCTCTGCTCACAAATATTAAATATTGCTGATTGTTGATGGGGCACAATGAGGTCCCCTTTTTTGCTTCCATGATTTTTACCATTTTGAAACCTGCCACCGCAATCCTTGTCACTATCACAACTGCACTACTTTTGCAACCGCCCTCATTGCAATTGCTACCACCATCACAACAAGCGAAGGCGCAAGGCCTTACCTGTTACCCTCTTTCTTTTTGGTCATATGCCATCCCTCTTTTTTTCCCAAACAGAAGATTGCAGCAAAGGGACAAATGATTTTTTTCACTAGTCACATTGGGATTTGTTTAATGGTGTTGTATGTGATTTTTTCATATGTGAGCGTGTATTCGCCATTCGATGGATACCATCTCCGGAAGGTTGTCAATCTTCTTGGTGGGGTTGCTGGAGTTCATGTGCTTGTCAAGAATGGAGAGGAAATCAAAGGATGGTAGGTGGCCAATTAGATATCATCCGGGTGCCACACAGCACCCAAATGGCAAAAAATGCCGGGTCAGCCAAATAATGAGCTTCATGGTGTAGCACAAACAATATTAACACCAATGGTGGATTCGGTGGACACACCCCTATACATAGACCCCTAATTTAAAACATGTCCAGCCACATAGTGCTTTTTAGTGTTTTTACCTTGAACATAATTCAGTAAGAGTACTGAAAACAACTTTTTTTTTGTTGAATTCAACTTTCTACTGACTGGAAAGACTGAAGATTGATGAGATTCAACTGCCTGATTCATTGTACAATTTCTTTCATCTGTTAGATTTCACCATCAAAGAGTGCCTCTTGTTATTCTGGTATGTGGTACTGCTTGTGTTGGAAAGTCCACCATTTCATCACAGCTTGCACAAAGGCTTAACTTACCAAATGTCTTGAAGGTGAAGCACATTCTTATATCACACTGATACTCTTTTTAAAATCATATCTACAAACATTCTAGTACGCATATCTTCCCATACTCGGGGTATTTGTTTATACATTTCATTTTTTGTTTTGCACAGACTGAAATGGTGTATGAATTACTGCGGACATCAACAGAGTATGAGAATGTTTAGAAATTCTTATTATTGCTTCTGAATGGAGATCAGTCATTTTTGTTATAATTATTATATAAATGGAAATCCCTATCTATAATTTGAGGGTTCGATTCACTGCTAGAATATTATGTTATTGTTTTATGACAGAGCACCCTTGTCATCGACTCCTGTATGGGCACGTGATTTCAACACCTCTGACGAACTAATTACTGAATTTTGCAGAGAATGCAGAGTAGTTAGGAAAGGTAATAGTGTAGCTACTTCAAACAAGTTACTACTTCAGATTAGAAGAATGTCAGCAGTTGTATTTCTTATACATGTGCAGGTCTCGCTGGTGATTTAAACAAAGCAATGAAAGATGGAAAACCAATAATAATTGAGGTATAATCTCAATGCCTTAACTGTCCTTCATTTGTACTTTTCCATCACAGAGATTTGTATTTCATATGCTTTCAACTCTGTTACCTCATAGATACCAGCACCCACTTGATGGATTTAGGAGGGATTGATGTAAGTAAAGTAGTTCTTAATAAAATACACAAGTCTATGAACATTATTTATGCTTACAGGTAATTGTTATACTATGAAAAAATGGTTCACATGTCTTTCAAGATTGGTGAGGATCAGTGACAAGGGCATCAATGTGTCTCCCAAAAACCGTGGCAATAAACCTTGCGGTTATGAGCATTCATCCCAAACATGATGACCCTAGCATTGGGTCACCCTAGTTTGGTAATTAGAGCTCAAAGTAGAAGTTGTTATTTGTTAAGAGGCATATGGACACCTAACTTGGTGATACATTGCGACACAACCACTAGCTTCTTAGTTGCTAACCACCAAACCTGGTTCCATTCGTCAACTCAAATCGTGTACATGTGCACAACTTGTAAATAAGCGACATAAGATACTCTACCACAGCGGTATGGATTCAAATGTTATACGACACATGAAATTCTTTGAAACAAAAGAAAATTGATTCAGCCTTACAATAACAACTGAGTCCTAATTCCAAATCAAGGCTCTCTTTCTCTTGAGGTCAACTACCATTGTCATCATTTTCCACTCTTTCATGTCATGCACAATGTGCGCAACTGTGCACTCAAGGCCTTAACACACTTAGTCCACACCATGTTATCTACCACCATTCATCTTTAGGTCTTCATCATACTAACACTATCATTTGGTTTGGGTGTGGAGTATGCTAGCCACTCTCTGCATCACCATGACTCTTCCAAACAACATTCTCAATCTTCGAGATAGAGATTGGTAGTTCCACCATTTTTTCCTCCATGACTTTTTGTTGTCTTGCTAGTGTCTCATCTAATCAATGCACTCTTCGAGTGTGTTATATATTGGGTCCATGATATCCTAGATTTTCTATATAACAAATGCTAACTTAGTAACTTTATATTCTATAAACCTCATTCTTGAGAAACACCATAAAACCTGAATTCCCTAAAAATATAATACACCCTAACTTTTATTTTATCACATCACACTACCAATAAAATGAAATTAAAGTCTTTCCCTTTTTTTAAGAGTAATTTACTTAAATATGACTAAAACATAATGACTTTCTCAATATAGGACCATATGTTTATTTCTCAATGTAAGACTTTTGCTCATTATGAATTAGTCATTATTCAAGTAAATGTCCATCATTACTGGACATTATTCCACCCACTAAGACATTAATAAGTCCTATTTAGGGAATAAAAAAGTTTAAGTCCTAGATTAGAAAAGTCATTATGTTTTAGTCCTATTTAGTGCAAATTTCACTTTTTTTAAACCATGACTGAATTTCCATGCACCAAAATAGACTAGAATTCTCTTTTTCCATAATACTCCATAACATTCATCTGAGTTAAAAATGGTCTAAGTGAAATCCAAATTACCTAACACTACTTTTGACTATCTATTTCTTCTATGGCCAAAATAATGAAGAAATAAGCCAATATCACTTCCAAACTAGAAGGATTGCACACACGGGTGAAACGAGAATTTAAATCAAACAAACCATGAACTGTTGTGCTCTTATGTCCTCAAGGTAATTCTGGACTTGTCTAAGCACTACATTGACAAATTTATGAAGCTAAAATGAAGAGAATTAAATCCATTTGAAGCATTGAGAAGAGACTAAATTATGTGGAAAAAATTAAGAAAACCAATCACGTTTCCTTTATAGTGCATGGTTTTGACTCTTGTTTCTAATTTATATGGACTGATTTCTTCCTATTATTGTTGATATTTCCAAGGGTAATTAAGAAGATGATACATCTAACCTATTCATTGTGTTATTTGAAAGAATATGGGTGAAATTCTCTTAGAAAAGAAATTCAACGGGAGCAAATACTATTTGTGAATTGTGAGCTGTTAGGAGCTTGTTTTCTTATATCCTTGACTATCTCTTTCAACACAGAAGACCTTTCACATAATAAAACTATCAAAACCAAGTCCTTAGGTGAAGGTAACACGTGCAAAGGACAAATTTCCTTAAAACATGGTGGTTTGTATTGAGGAATACTAATGCATATCACCTCAAGTGTGTGTGGTTTGTAATACTCATTTCTTCTCCCGCTTATTAAAAACAAATTCACTCTCCAAAATTAAGAAGACAAAACCCATATCACAAAGAAGAAGAGACAAATTCTTATTGAACAAGGCTACATGTTTCAAGGAAGACCAAGGTCATATGTGAGATAAACCAAACAGATAGACTGTGATTACAAGGGAGAATAGTTCACTATTGTTTTAGGTTCCAATTCTAATCGCTACAAACTACATTATTTGGGCCATGAAGATGAAAGCAATTTTCAACGCCAATGAGGTTTGGGAGGTACTCAAACCAGGAACAGAAACCAATTCAAAGAAAAACAATATGGCCATAACACTTCTGTTTCATGCTTTGCCAAAAGATATCATTTTACAAGTTGCTTAGTTTACTGAAGCTAAAGAAATTTGGGATGCTACTAGCTTCGTAGGTGTTGAGTGTTGACAGGGTTAAAGAGGTGCGACTACAGACACTCGAATCAGATTTTGGGTCTCTAATGGTGAAGAACGAGTCACTTGATGATTTTGCTGGTAAAATTAGCGGACTTGGATCACATGCAAGCAACCTTGGGTGTGCAAAATAAGAAACTGTTCAATTGCAGCAACAATCTGAAGAAAAAGGATTGGTTCGAAAGCTTTTGGGTTTTGTGCCAAAAAAATTCATTTAGATTGTTGCTGCAATTGAGTAGTTTGCTGACCTTAACACAATGCTGTTGTAAGAAGCAGTTGAGCGATTAAAGCCTACGAAGAACACATCAAAAGGCCAACTAAGGAAATATGCATGGTGAACTACTATTCACTAAAGGTGATGGAAAAGAGAAGGTTAAGGAGCACAAATGTGAGACCTGCTGTTGCGGGAGCTCAAACCGAGAAGACTTTGGACGTGGCCGAGGTAGAGGTCGGGGGTCCGACAAAGGTCAAGACGGTGGTCGGTCTCAATGGGATAAGAGTCACGTTAGGTGTTTCAAGTGCAATGAGCGCAAGCATTTTGTCAACAAATGTCCAAAATGGGACCAAAAGGAAGACATTGCAAATTCGACTCAAGATGATGATGAACCAATGTTGTTGTGAAGATATGCGTGAACAAACAACAATTAGGGGCGTGATTGTTAGATTTAATCGGGTTTCTTTGCAACTTTGCATATAACCAAATGGGTGATGGGTCAATGTTTGGGTCGGTTAGTATGGAGTCGGTTATTATATGGAATCTTTTAGTGTGCCTTTCATATTTATTTAGAAAAACAGTTGTGAGTACTTTTTCGTAAAAACAGGTGGGTAGTTTCTGATATTAATAGTTGTGTTGGTTTGTTCTCTATTTGTTATAAAGAACACAAATCCAGTGTAGTTTTCTTTTTTTGACAACACACATCCAGTGTAGTTAACAACAAACGAATTCTTCTGTTTTGCTTTGATCCAATTTTATATCACCTTTAATTACACTTTCCATTTTGGGATGTCCCTAAATAAAGGGTTCCTTCCTTTTCTATTCAACAATAACAAACCCAGTAAAATCCCACGAAAGGGGTTCTTCCTTATCTAGTAAGGAAAGAAATATGTGGCTCACAATATTTCTCTCTTATAAATATATTTCAACCACACAATTTTTATTTTTCAAATTTCAACACTTTTCTTGAACTTCAGTTTGAGACGGAGGAAGTATATATAATCTTTGGATCAAGGGTTAGGTGTTAATTCTTTCTACTTGTGTTCATAATTTGGAAGACTCATTACGGTTACCTTATTATTCAACACTTCATAACACAAGTTTTGTCCATATACTAAAATTCTCCACCTACACTCGAGTTATGGATGCAACTTTGTTCTCCAGTGATCAGCTTGCCTGCCCTGCCATGATTGTCTTGTTCTGTTTCTCTCTTTCATAGTCATTTATTGTATTTTCTGTCACACTTTGGTTGTTTTCAGTTTTTCACAAGTCTCCTGGTCTCATATCGTTTCCAACATTGAATTGAATTGATAAATGGTAAGCTACTAGGTGGTAATTGGTGCACAATAGATCATAGGTTAGAGATATGTTGCTGTATGCGAGCTAGCTCATAGGAAACATTGAAAGGTTGATTAGATTGCTCCCTGACAGAATAATGAGATAGGAAGAAACCGTAATGGCCTTAACAGGAAGGACCATACTGGTCATGACAAGATTTTTTTTAAACTAAATGCATTGATTAAATAGAGAAAATTACAATGTCATAACAGGAAATTCATGCCTGCAAATTAAAGTGAGTTTCTGACAAGCTTTTATGTTATGATTTACATAGGACTTATCTATGACTCTCATAACCGATGAATATGAACTGAGGACCAGGTCTGATCTTCTTTTGATTGTCATTATCATCCCAGGGAATGCATTTAGATCCCAGTATATACTTGATGGATGAAGAAAACAAATCACCATCAGCTACACCATTGAATGACGGCGGATCAAAGTCTGAGAAAATGGTTGACAAAATTGAAATTCAAAACCATAGTAATTCCTCTTCTGGAAATGATAGTTGTAGCAATGATAGAGATTATGACTCTGAAAATGTGAAAGTAGAAAACAATGTTGTTGATGAATTGAATATGGCCACGGGTGCTTTGGAATCCTTATCTCTTGAAACAGGTTTATAATACTCATCCTTCCAGCTTTTTCATCTTCAAGTTTTACTGCTACTGGAGTACTAACAATCTCCTTTTTGAGAGCTTCTTGACACCAGTATGACTTTCCTTCTGATGTTACAGTGAAGGATTCAACAGGTGATGAAAAGCCTTCTCTTCGAAAAGCGAAATCTGGTGCTGAGCCGATTATTGTTCATGTAGTCCTTAAGATGGCTGAATTTGATCATGGGGTATGACAAAGCGCTTTTTAACATGTATTTGTGCTGATCATATTATTACCTCACTTTGCTTAGGTTTTTCCTTAATAAAAGCATGCATTTTTATTACCATAATGGAGTAGATACCCATTTATATTCTGAGACGAACACACTCATTAGCAATGCTTTTAAGTACATGTTTAATATATATCTATTCAATCTAGTTGTTGTATGTTAATGATATAAATTATCTTATGCAGGCATTACTCGAGGAGTGGATATCAACACGAACTAGTAGAGAAAAATATCCGGTCCAGGTTCTATATCCAATTACGCTAACATTCTTTTCAATGTTTTTATGGGTGCTTATTTTATGCTGTAAAGCCTGTAATTGCTAAAGCACCTTGAGGTTGCATCTGAGTTCTGCAGGCTTCTGGACACAGCTCTTGTGGAGCTCACATGCACTCACTAGTATGTACTTCATTAGTTGTAAAAAAAGCTTCAATACTTTTCAGGACAAAGATAAGCTAAGGAGCAACTTAAAAATCATTCAAGACTACCTTTGTTCGTTTGAGTCACAGGTACAAATTTTATTTGTGACAGTGTTAATCTGCATTCATGAGTGTCATATTTAGACTTAGACATGACGTGAATTAAGTGTTTGGTAGACCATTTTTGGAGCATTAAATTAAACCCAAAACGTTCAAAATACTGAAATGAAGAAGCTTTTACTCATAGGCTTTGTAGCTTTCTGATATTAGCATTTTGTGGATTTCATTTTTGCCTATGATACACTTCTACACTGACAAATCCTGTTTTCCACCCTTTTAGATCTTTTTGCCAAAACAGATATAGAAGTGACTAATTTTTCTGTCAATGTAATACTCCTATACTCCCTCCGTCCCCAAAATCTCTTTCACATTTTGACTTTTATGAAATTTAAGGGAGGGATATTTTTGTTTAGACTTTCCAAAATTATCCTTGATGTGATGGGTAAAAGTAGGATGTGAAGGGTAGATTAGTAGTGAATAGATATAAAGTGATAGGTAGAATAAGAATTAGTAGGGGTAAAAGTGGTTTTTTAATAGAAAGTGGAAAGAGTTTTTGGGACGGGGATAAATGAAAAGGGAAAATCTTTTAGGAACGGAGGGACTAGGGAGTATATTTTTTTTAAATATAAACTGATATCCCAACACTCAGCCAAAAGGCTCTTTTGAAATAAAAACGTTTTCAAATCAGATAACAGGTTCTCAGAACAGTGTTTTAACTAATAAACTATATATTTGAATTGCTTGCCAGAAGACCCCCCTTCTTTAACAATAAATTTCTCTGTGTTTAGTTCAGGAGGTTTATAGTTTCTAATACTCGTTAAGACACATGAAGTGCTTATTTGGTAAGTTGATATTTTGTTTATCATCCAGATTTTCTACTATGAAATGACTTTTGCCCTTAACCAGATAAAAAGAAAAAGTAAAACTTGGACCCTAAATGCATTCATTATCAATGAGGGCTCTTGTTGTTTATTGTTTTATCCTCGCGCAGTTGCAAAGTTTATTGTTTTACCCATAGATAATGCCTTCCCGTTATTCAAATGAGGGCTCTTATTTATAGTGTAATATCACATTTAAATATCTAGTTAAACAATATCTAATGTGGATATCGGTCATTCTTTTTCATGATCTTAGTCTAGCCATGGAAACAATTTTGTTCTTTCTCAGTTACTTAGAGGCTTAGACATGTTGGGTTGCCAATAGCATACCTTGCATCTGTAGTTAAGTTTTGCTTGTGGTCATACCATTAGACCGCCGCATGTTCTTCTCACTCAGTTTGTTTAGATCAGTAACCGTGACGTTCTTTTTCTTAAATCTTAATTGCTTTGCATTTTTCACTACAGGGTTTAACTGTTGTTAACATATCAGCTGCTGCTTTCCCTCAAGCTATAGATTGGCTGCATAATTATCTTCTGCAGGTGATTTTTGAATGAGTTGATTTTAACATTTTCTCTGGTTTTTCCTAATAAACGCCGGGCATCTGCATCCCTAAAATTCATCTATACTTTCAAATCTTCAACCCACTTAGTTTGCAATTACTGCACAAGACAACGTATACATAAATGCAAGCTTGCAAATTTCGCAATCCATGTGTTCCTTCTATGTTTTGATGTGAAATGTTTGGTACTTTTTTTGTACCCCACAATTGTGTATACTAACTTCTACACCACACGCAAATAGTTTATTATTGTTTTCACAAACATTCCTCTTGTCTTTGTGCACACAGGCAAAATGCATACTCCCTCCGTCCAAAACAACTATTTACACTTGCTATTTCAGAGTCAACATGATTTTTTTCATTTTCTATTTTCATTGATCATTTGAAAAAATTATATAAACATGTCGCATCTTGTTTCACAAATCTTTTGGTGTGGTTTTTAAATATACAAATTTTAATTTTTTCTATACCAATTTCAAAAGAGATTGAATTGAAAATAACATCAATCAAGTGTAGTGTCAAGGGTTTTTGGGGACGAAAGGAGCATCTGAAAAACAAACTAGTGTTGTCTCTATGTTGTACAACTAACAAAACCCATGTTTTTTTATCTTATATGACAATGCAAAGGTGCAATTTTCTAACCATTTCCCTATTTGCCAGCGCATAGAACAAGGGATATCACCATTTTCGGACGGAAAGAGCGTTCGACCTGCTTTGGACTGCACCCCTGAGCACTGAATGGTACTCCATCTGTCTCGAAATCAAATTTCTGATTACTTTTTCACGGAGTTTAAGAAAAAGTAAAATTATATGGTTGAGATTTATGCAAAAATGGGAAAAATTATATGGACGCAACTTTTTCCTTGAAATGAATCAGAACCCCACTTTTAGGACAAAGGGAGTGTTGTTTGTCCTAAACGTGAAAGGGTATAACCACATCTACAATTTTTTTAAGGTCTACAATATGTAATTGTATTACATATTGCAAAATGTAAAATATAATTGTAGGGTTTACCTGTAGCGAATCATGTGATTCGCTACAATGTACTCTCTCCGTCAGTCTAGATACTTTTGTCGTCAATAAAAAAACTGTATTACATGTAACTGTAAAATAATTTATTTGTATACGGAGGATACCTTGTAATATATTGTTACAGAGTTAATTTATTGTATTTAATATAGAATGCGATTTTAATTTAATTGACGATCAATATTTGTTCAATTTGACTAGAAAAAAGACAAATTTTATAAACAAAGTGAAAATAATGTGATTGAGATTTATTATATGATTGTCCCGGCGATGTCCCAATGAATTAGTCTGAGCCGAATCAATGATTTTAACTAATTGAAAACGTTGTCCATTTGAACTAGTCGGGCAATGAATTCACTAATTATATTAGCAGGACCATTTGAATCAATGGCATTAATTTAGAGAGGGAGGCGTACACCCAATTTTTGGTGTATGATTGTTATACCAATTCAATCGGGGCACCTAAGGTATTTCAATCGTTAAATTGATTGTTCCTACCCCTTCTTTTCCTAATACTTGTCTAACTCCTCTGTTAGAGTACTCCACATCGGCAGTTGAATAGAAAAGTAATAAGTGTATAAACTCTTGAGTTGAACTAAGTAATTGATTGGATTCAATATTTTGATGTTTTTCAAACAAAGTGTCTTATTATGCAATCCAATTATCCTTTTCCCATCTTAAATTCTATCACCCTCCCCTCCCTTCACCTGGTTGCCTCGTCCCTAATGTGCCCCTGCGTCCCTCCAATTGCATCGCTCAAATTTTGTTAAATTTGGGATCAAATTAAGTCTCGGAAATTTGGGCGGTGCAACTGAAAGAGGTGCGTTTAGAGCGGCCCGTGGGGGGGGGTATTGAAGTATTGAAGTAGGAACAATTAATTTTACGATCTGAGTATCATAGGTGCCTAATTGAATTGGTGTAAACACCAAATGTTCGGTGTAAGATTACTCCCTCTTTAATTTAAATCCGACAATGCTAGAAATGATAGCAGAAGACAATGAAAAGAGGAGAGACTTCCTAACCAGAAAACCATCCTAGATTTTAAATCATGATAAAGTAATTCAAACTGACCTGACTTATGGTTTGAACTAATCATTCCAGTCATATACTCCTCCCGTCCCATTTTATAACGCCGGTTTCGGTTTACGATGTTTGACTGAAATTATTTTTAAATCATTTTATATGACAAATGGTATATAGTTAAAAAATAAAAATTACATATTAAAATACTTCATCAAAAGATCTACAAAACTAGTAGTGACAATATCACTTTATTTTATTAAATTGCTAACGAAAATAGAGAAAGAAAGTGAATGAAGTTTGACCTTTTGAATAGTGAACATGCATTATAATTTGGGACGGAAGGAGTAAAATTTAGAGAATTCCATATTAAATTAGGTTTTAAATTTATTCATTTTCTATTAGAAAAACGTAATAGAAAAGGTGTACGTTTGGGGTACATCACCCTGGGGTACACCTAACAAATCCCCCACTTTTATATTTGTATGAACTACATTTGGATTCCATGTTTAAGTGGCTTCCTCTCAAACTTTGACCAAGTTTTACGAATAAATTAGATTATGGAATAATATTATTGAATTCATTTTGAAATGTAGCTTTGAAAATATAATATTTTTTTATATCCATCTCTAGTTTTGAAAACTTTTTTTTGAAAAAAAATATATTTTCTTTCCTTAGATAATTTCATTAATAATTTGAGAATGTATTGAGGTTGAGTAAGTAAATACTACATCTGTTCCAGAATAAGTTCTTGATTCAATAAATTTAGTCTTTGTTGGAAAATCTGGGAGGGGTGACAATGTTGTATAGCAATATTAGAAGTGGATGCTATACGATTAACGTGAAAAAGTTTGATAGACTTAACGAATCATGTTAAACACGTTTTCAGATCAAAATTATTTTTGGAAATATACCTTCCATCCTAAAATGTTCTTCCCAATTCGATTTAAGAGGCTTGATTGAAATTATTTTCATTTCAATTTATTTGATTATAGGTGTAAAAATAAAAAAATTATATATATTAAAACTACATAAAAAATTCTACAAAACTGACTAAATTATTTTATCAAATAACTAACGAAAATAAGTAAAGAAAATGATTAAAGCTTGAGTATGTAAATAGTGATTGTGAAGATTATTTTAGGACAGAGATAATAATAAATTACTCTGGAGTACTTTAATTAGAAGTATCCAAAACGAGTATGAAAGTTTCGTATCTCTAAAACATACCCTAGTACAAATTGATCTGACACGTTTATTGACAAAAGAACACAACTTTACACAAAACATTCAAATGTTTTGGTCATGGCAATCGAATGTACGCGATTGTTATTATTTAACCAATGCGTTCAACAGTTTTCTACGCAAGTCATCACATCTAATTGCAAAATATTTGATTGTTTAAAATTAAGCATTCGAATGTATGCATCATTTTGCAAAGGATGCTAGTGGTTATCGCTAACATTCGAATGTATGGTTTCACATATTTGACTATTATCTTATTTTGGCTCTAACTATGAAAGTCCAAAAGATTTTTATAAAGTAACAATAATTTTTTCCCTTGGACCCATCAGGGGTTGCCGCCCCTTGGACTCTGCAACCGAATTTGTAATATCATTGGCGAGCGTGCACTCAGTATCGCCAAACTTGTTAACGTCTTTTTAAACAATTGTCTGATGTAAGTAAATGCAATCCTAAAATAACAGTAAAATCACAAACTTTTTTAGTTCAATTTGTTTTTAAAAAATTTGATGTAGAATTTAAAATTAATATTTATATAAAAAATTTATAAACTGCAAAAACATTCTATTTCCATAAAGCATGTTGGACTATTTATGTTATCAAAAGTTAAAATAAGAAAGATGATTTAAGCCAACTTTCTTATGCTCACATGATATAAAAATTTAATTACCCACAATAATATTTTTTAACGTCCAAGATTAGTTCTCTTTTCATATTAGCATTGTTCACATTAGGGAAATATAACTGTTTTTAAATGACTTATTCAATATATTATATTCAAATCTTAAAATTGAGATAAGTTCAAAGTGAACAACAGGATTCAGGTAGAGGAATAGTAGTTGAACAATTACTTGAGATAAATCTTTATCTCAAGTTACTTGGGATAAACTACATGAACCAAGACAAAGACTAAATAGTCAACAAACCAAATTATAGAACTAGCAAAAACTCAATTCCATAATACATACTCCCTCCGTCCCCTTTTAGATTATAATATTTCCTTTTAGAAAAAATTAAGGAAGAGTGAAATCAATATTTTTTCCCCAAATTACCCCCCAAATAGCATAGGAATGGGTGGGTGGGTGAGATTTTGACATTGAAATGATAAAGGGGAGGGAGGGTAAAAGAGTCCATTTAGTGTAAAAATAAACACTTTGTAATTCTTTTTGGGACAAAAATAAGAGGAAATATTGTAATCTAATTGGGGACGGAGGGAGTACAAGTGAGAGGTGACTACTAAGAGCTCACCATACAAAAATTAACTGCTCAACATTCAGTTGGTATGGTACAAAAATGCATAACACAGTTATTTATTGAGCTAATACAACAAATGCCACTAAACATGAGGGATAATCTTACTACAAATTTTTTTTCACAATAAATCTTACAACATTCATATCTTAAATTGGATTATTTATTTTGTGAAACCCAAATAGTTACTAACTCATAGATCGCCATACTATTTCACAAAAATCCAAGTTCGTTTCGTATGAAATCAAGCAATTAATATTTTAACATGTTTTGAGCAATTCATTCGTTGCATTAATTTTTTTCCCATTGGATTAAGAACGAAACGAACTTGGGTTTTTGTGAAGTTTTAGGATGACAATCTATGAATTACTCCGTAGTAACTTTCAATCATACGGTGGGTTTCACAAAAAAATATAATCAAATTGAAAGATATGAATGTTGTAAGATTATCCCTCATTTAGTTTTATTTATAACTATATATATAAAAGCTGAGAAGAAAATGAGATTTCAGATGATGTAATCAGACCATTCGGAAATAAAAGAGGTATGGTCCATTGACTCTCCGGGCACTTCCTCGTGTTTAGTTGGCTGCTGTTTCCCTCCTACAAGCCTTGCCGGATTCCCAGCTGCGGTCGTCTGTGGAGGCACGTCGATCAATACTACAGCCCCGGCTCCAATTTTGGCTCCCGCTCCAATCTTTACATTTCCAAGTATGGTCGCCCCTGCACCGATCAGCACCCCATCACCAATCTTAGGGTGCCGGTCACCCCCAACCTTACCGGTTCCTCCTAGGGTCACGTGGTGGAGTATGGAGACATTGTTTCCAATCACTGCAGTCTCGCCAACCACGACTCCGGTTGCGTGGTCAAATAGGATGCCTTTCCCTATCTTTGCAGCTGGGTGTATGTCAACAGCAAAGACATCAGAGATTCTTGATTGAAGTGCAAGAGCGAGTGGCCTTCGCGACTGGATCCACAGCTTGTGAGCGACTCGGTGTGCCTGAGATATATACATACAGAAAGTACCTCTAGTTGGATCAGTAGTTCTTCATATCTAGTAAATACTTTAGACTTCATTTGGTTACTTCTTGTGTTTGATATTGTTCATATTTTCTTTTGTTATGTCTTCAAATTTCAAAATATAAGACTCCCTCCCTCCCTCAGTGGTCCCTCTGCCCCAAGAAAGATATGTTTCAAGAAGATATACCTTTCAATTTTAGTAAGGTATAACCTAAATAATCCAATAAGAAATTCTTGTTTCCAATTACTTAAATATTCTCTATCTGTTTTCAGTTAACACACTTTCTTGTTTGTGTGTGCTAAAGAGTGAACAACAACAACAACAACAACGCAGTTGAATCCCACAAAAGTAGGGTCTCGGGAGGGTGTGTACGGAGACCTTACTCCTACTCAAAAGTAGTGAGCACCGCAAGTAAGATTCAAATGTGTGGTTGAGATTCAAATAAAAAAAAGAGAAACCAAATGCATTCCATGAATGGAAACAAACCTGATAAACCGGGACCGACCAAAAAGAAAAGAAGCATGAAAATTCGAGGAGTACATTCCCCCTAAATGTTTTGTAAGTCAGGGTGGTAATTAACAACAAGATCACTAAGCACGCAAAGGCCTTGTTTGGGAACTGTGTTTCCTGTTAGCGTTTTGGATCATTTTTAATGGTGTATATTACAGCACTCAAGTTGTTGCCAAACGGGCATCATCTATAAAAATATTTATTACATATACTCCCTATTCCAGCAAATTCATCATTTATGAAAGTATGAAACCAGCTTGATAGTTTGAATTTCTTCTTGAAAGCTAGAATAGCAAGTAATATTCATAGAAAGTTTGACACAGCCAACACAAACAAAAGTCAACTCCTAATCGGAAAATTGATATTCGGAAATCAATCAAAATACTCAAAATTCGATGGATCAACATCATATGGAGTACCTGGCAAGCTAGAAACCCTTTGTAATTGAGGAGACAATGGGAGAAGGAAACGCAGGAAGGGTCCCGGTAGCGAGCGGCGATGAGATCGGCGACGGTGGCGGCGCGGATTTCCGAATCGCTGGAGAAGGCGTCGATGAAGATATCGTAGAGGAGCGTGGAGAGGAGCGTCGAAGAGCAGAGCTTGTTCCCTAAATGGAACGAAATCGAACGGTCCAGGGACGGGTGCGAGAGAATGGTTGAGTACAGGTAGCTGGCCAGAGCTGGCTCGGCCTCCGCGTCGCGCCGAGCCTCCGCCTTGATCTGTAGCCACACCCAGCCCGCTTCGTCTGCTAGGTCCGTCGGCGGGTTCGGCGTTTCAGCCGACGCATACTGCAATTTCCCGGCCGTCATTTAATGTGTCAAACAAAAAAATTAGCGCTTAGCTTTACAACTTCGGAGGGCTCCCAAATCCCAAACCTCACGGATGACGGCTGTTATGGTTGCCGCTCCTAAAATTGGTCTCTCTCCCTCAACCCCCATCCAACCCGAACACACCCCCCCCTCCCCCGAATTAATTTTGACTATAGAGTCAATTTTATTTCCAAAGTCAAAATGCGATGTAATTGAAGGGAGTGAATGTATGTTTTGGTTGGGGGAGGTAAGGGATTAGGAGGTAAGAATTATCAATTTTACGAATGAGACACTATGATGGTCTTGGGTCATCTCACAACATGGGTTCCAATGTCATAAGAGTACAATTTCATAAGAGCCCCTTCTTTTCACAATTCCTAATATTATACTCTCTAGTATGACATTAACTCTAATTAAAGTATTATCATATTATGGCATTTTGTTGGTTAAATTGATAACTTAATTGATGTTGTTGCTATATTATGATCATAAAATCTATTGTAAAAAAACTAAAGTGACTTCAACTACTACCCGTAATCTTATTGCGGGATCACTTGGGGTTTCATCTAAGGACTTAGGAAAGCATTTAGGCCTGTCGTCTACTCGAAGGATAAGCGAGCAGGTTTCTCGTACATTCAAGAAAAGGTCTCACATAGGATTAGCTCTTGGAACAAAAAGCTGCTAATCAAGGCTGGTAAGGAAATCCTCCTCAAAATTATTGCTCAGGCGATGTCCACTATCTCTATGAGTGTGTTCCTTATCTCAAACTATCTTTTTCGAGATTTAGAGCATCTGATAAACTGCTTCTGGTGGGCTCTGGGGGTTTAAGGTAGGGGAATCCATTGGATGGGGTGGGATCAGTTATGTGTTCCGAAGAAATTTGGAGGATGAAATTTTAAAAACTTTCATGATTTAAATCTTGCTATTTTAGGTGAACTAGGTTGGCATTTTCTCACCAATTCACACTCCCCAACGGATAGAGTTTACAAGGCGAGGTATCACCCTAAGTCTCCTCTTTTATGCTAAAGTGGGTAATAGTCCTAGTTTCTGCTTGAAAAGTATCATGGCCGCTCATGAGTTTGTCTGTAGTGGGTTAAGATGTCATATTGGTCATCGAGCAAGTATGTTTGTTTGAGGTCATCCTTTGTTGCTCAAAGATGGTGACCTGATGATTCGTTCAGTTGCGCCTAAACGTTTGCGTAGCATCACCGTTCCTTGTTTGACGGATAGAGCCTTGCATGATTGGGACCTTCTCCTACTTAGGGATATGTTCTCGGAGGATGAAGTTAATTCGCATTAAGTGCATCCCCATCATCCCACATTATGAACACTCCTGGGTTGGGTATGGAGATTCGAAGGGGTGCTACTTGGTTAAAACTGGCTATAGATTGCTTATGGGCGAGTTGATTGGCCATGTGTCACCCTTTACTTCTTAGACTAAGCTGTGGAATTTGAAAGTCCCTGCCAAACGGAGAACTTTAATTTAGATAGCTGTTAGGGACATTCTTTCGACTATTCTCAATCTTCGGTCCAAAAGGATGGACGTGGGTCCCTTATGCTCTATTTGTGGCAGTACCAGTGTTACTAAACCTGGACCGGACCAAGGGACACATAATCGGTCTGGTCCAACCCCAAAAAATCGGAAAACCCTAAAAAATATCGAGTCAACACAGAAAACCCCCATCGACTCGACATCCGGTCCGGGTTTTAAATCATTATCGGAGACGGTTATGAACTCTTTGGTTACTTGTGATTACGTCAAGTGGGTGTGGAACTAGGTTGGTTTGCCGATTTTCAATGATTTCCAATCGCTCTGGGCTGCATTTTCCCCTATGGTTGCAGTCAATTTGGTGTGCATTTGGGTGAGAAGACTTTGTTCAAAAGGCTTATTCAGTCTTTTGCCCGTTTTTCCTTTAATTTTATTCCTCGTTGTTCAAACTTGTTTGCTCATTCTCTAGCATTTGTAGCTTATAGCCCGTCTTTTAAGATGTTTTGGGATTCTTTCCCACCAGATTTTGTTCCCCATCAGATTTAATAATATTTGATTTGGTTTTAAAAAAAATTAAAGGAACTTCTACATTTGGTTTCGACACTATTAGAGTATGTACTTTTTGGCAGTCGATCTAATTTTATTAAGATCTGATTTGTTTAATTTATTTTGATTTAGTTTAAGTTATCGTGGTATTTAAAATTGTTTTTGATCGAATGTGGTCTAGTTCGATCTGATCTGATTTCAACAATAATAAATAATAAGTACTCTCTCCATCCCTAAAAACTTATCATCTTTCATTTTTCATTTGTCCCACAAAATTTTTCATTTTGGCCTAAATTGGCATAAATGCCCTAGTTTTTTCAATCTAACCTAACCTATCTTAACTTCCTTCTACACCCTTCTATTCAGAAATTTCCCAAACATACTTGCATCATTATGTGTGAAATATGCATTGTATAATTCATAGATATGCATATATACACCATACATACAAAAAACATGCTTCCTTCGTCTCGCAAAACTGTTCTACATTTGACTTGAAACGAAGATTAAGAAAGTGTTATTGTAAGATTGAAAGTGATGTAGAGGCCTGACACAAAAATAATCTATGAGCCACAAACACAATCAAGAAGTAGAAAATCGATGGGACAAACAAAAATAAAATATGAAACTTCTCTTGTGTGACGTAGAGATTGTATGTATATATACAGACGTATAATATACTCCCTCAGTTTCTGAAACTCTTTCTCCTTTCTTTTTTTTCTTATCCCACAAACTTCTTCCTCTTTATACTCCCTCCGTCCAAAAAAGAACTTCCCACTTTCCTTTTTCGTCCGTCCACAAAAAAACTTCCCATTTCTATTTTAGGAAAGTTTTATTAGGTAAAAAGACTCAAATACCCTTCCCACCCACTTCTTTTCTTCTTCCTTCCCTGCTGGTTTCGTTCCACTTTCCTTTTCTTCTTCTTCTTTTCTTCTTTTTTTTCTTCTTCCTCTCTTTCTTTCTTTTCTTCTTTTCTCCCTTCCGATTTATTTCTGCCACCCTCTCTTTTTTTTTCCTTCTTCTTTCTTCTTCTCTCTTTTTTTCTTCCTCTCCCTTCTGTTTTTGTCCAACCAATCACTCCATCTTCTTTTTCTTCTTTCTTCTTCCTCTACTTTTTCTTCTGATTTCTTTGTCTTTCTTTTTCAATCTTTTTCTCTTCTTCCTTCTTTCTTCTTATTCCTTCTCCCCCACTACTAGATCCGGTTAGATCTAGATCTGCACGAACCCCCACTACTAGATCCGACTAGATCTAGATCTGCACGAAAGTGACAATTTTTATTTCTCAGATCTGCGATGGGCAAGTCCAAAAATAGATCTCTGCGTTAGGATGGAAGGAGGT